AGTGCATTGCGTAAGTCATCAATCGGCGTTTGTAGCGTTTGAACGACTGACGGTTGGATAAATAGTTGTCTAAGATTTCCATCGTTGGTTGAACGCCACGTGAAGATGGTATTTAGCAATATTTGTCCATCGATCGTGTTGAAGGTGTATGTGTTGCACACGTGTCTGAATCTGGACTGTGCCAAACGAATCAGGGTACAATAATCTTTGTGAAACTGAGAAATATTTGATGCCTTCAACACGAGCGAATCGTGTTGCTTTTCTGATCAAGGCTGGGTTAAACGTGGTGGGCATCCAGGGTACCTCGGGAATGAGTGTGTACAAACTGGTGTGGGTCACCAATACTGAGCTGTGTGGATAGGGTTTTATTCGGGAGCTTCAAACACCAACAGAACAGCCTGGGTGCAAGCAACGGGACGAAATTTGAAAAGCCTTTCTTAGGTGCTGGGCTGATTGAGACTATTCTCCAACAGTTCGGAATACTTTGCTGAGGAATGCAACTGCTAACTCGTTCATTCAGTACAGGGAAAATAAAGGTAGTTCATTCGTTCAGGACACCAGGTGAAACTCCATCAGGGCCGTTGGACGTCTAACGGCCTAATCAGGTCAACTCGTGATAAATTTCGGCTGGGGGAACGCTGGAGACAGGATCAGTCTTGTTCATGTCACGTTCATTACGAAGAGCAGGGAGTGCGGTTCCGTAATTCACGAAGCTCTGATTCAGACCCTCTGTAGTCACAGCAGTAGGTTCGCCGTGTGAGGATTTGATGCCAGAAAATCGCATGAGGGTTTGCAGGTTTCACGCCTACCTTTGTTCTGAAACCGAACACGAGTGTACAAAGATTTGAGCTTGCGAAGTTTATCCCTGATGAATTTAGAAAGAGTGCGCACCGGATTGCGCTTATGCATTTTGAAGGCACGCTCTTCTCAACAATGAGGTTGTTTTAGGTATAGCAAAAAATAATCGATTGGGGCGGATATTAATTCATTCTGAGGTACAACAAACATTGTCAAAAGCTTTTAAGTAACTCATCCAGTGACCACAGAAAACGGAAGGGTAGGAGTAGGGGAGACAGAGTAAGGTCGAACTGGCTGATCTTTTCTCTTTGACGGAGTATTGAGCCGCACGTCCAAGTGTATCTTCTACCTGTTCACCCCATAGATAAGATGACATCTTTAGCAAAAAGTGATATTCCTTACGTACCATGCCACGGGAACACAAGAAAATAAGTCGCTTGGAGTTAGAATTTTATCCTCAATTGGTATCCCATATGTAACCAATCAAGATGAAAAGGTTGAATTTGTCAAAATTGGATGCGGACACGGTAGACAATTAATACACCGTTGGCGGAAAATGAGAACCCCGCACCAGCAGAAATTCAGACACAAATCTGCCTAAGCACTTGGACCGTGGCTATTTCGTTCCACGGTAGATGGATAGGTATTCAAATGACCTGATCTTCTCAAACGTCAGCCTCCATTACATTTGTGAACCATATTTATACATGTTAGTTTAACTCCATTCACATGGGTGAAAAAGTAAACATTAATGATCCGCTCCGTTTTGGTTTTAAATGAATACCGGACGGCAGAAAAATGCTGGTCTATAGAAGGCCTGGAAGTCTTCCGTTTGAAAATCGAAAGCATTCGATGAAACAAGATCCACGAGTTGTCAAATTGATGAAGCGATGCAATGAACTCGGTTTGTCAGAATATCTCTAGTGGTGGTGGACCGTCCGTGAAAAAACCGAAGGCTGTATATTTCGATGTGTGAGATGAAATCGCTTTGTACCCGCATCATCCTTAAGGCGAGAGTGTGCTTTTAGCGGTTTAGAATGTATACCTAAAAGAGATTTGAACAAACGTGGTTGGACGGTCTGAAAAAATTCCCTGGATTGCCCTCGAGGTACCGCTCTAGTGGGCGTTGACTCTGAGCCACTGGCATAGAACACAGTTGAGCTGCATCTCTAAGGAGCGATGAAGCCGTACGCCAGCTGCCGATGTTAGACCGAAAGACTAGAGTCTCAGAAGAACGCAGGTGTACAAGCGGAACGAGTGAATCAACACTAGTAAGTGGTTGTAAGGTAATACTCATAATTTGCGTGTAGTGTTTTCAATGCGAGTACAAAGGAGCGATTATTAGATTTTCACGGAACCTTTTTTCTTTTTCATTTTTATTACTTTTTATTGAATACATAATGATACATTTCCATCGCATCTGAATGCATTTACCTCGCGTGGAATTGACGATCTCTCAAGGAGTGAAACCCACATCCAAGACAATCAACAGTGCCTGGTGCCTCTGAACAATTGACTGGGCTAATCCAAGCTTGATACTCTGAACATAATGATACAATTTCCAGGAAATGAGAAACGGCCAATCA